GAGTTGCAAAGAGAAGCCTGGGTACTTCTTGTCTCACCTCTCTTCTCATTTGTTTGCCACCCTCATATTCAGCAGCAGGTATACCATCATATAAACCCAGGTCACATGGTACAGGAGCTCAGGAGACCCACGTTTACTAATGACTGCTTCCTAGACACTTTTTGGTGTATGTCCCTCTAATGCTCTGCTTGTGCCAGGTCTTGTGTTCTCTTAACCCTGACAGGTCCTGATCCTCTAACTCACTGTCTTGAATTCTCTGTGAAATCCTTTTCTCTTTACATTACTGGGCCCTACAGAAAACCGCCACAAGAATTTTGGTTTAAGATTCTGTGACTTTTTATTTTTTCCCAGTTTTTCAGATCACGAACAGACCATTACTCAGGAAATGAAAGAAATGGGTATTATTAATATTATGTTGAACATCACCTTCAAAATAATTCAGGAATTTCTTTGTGGAATAAAATACAGAGTATATAAGAAATTGATGTATTGAAGCTATTAATAATTTTCAAATGTGTTCTTTTCCAAATAGGTTAACAAGGAAGATTATTTGTTTTCCCCCTCTATATTCATTCAGTCAGTATATATTGAACATCTCTGAGGAAAATATCTCCATTCTAGGAGTCATGTCTAAATAAAAAATAAAGTGTAGTTCTCCTAGGGAAATAGCTATGAACCATAGCAATCAAAATAAAATTTCGCTTGTACAGTAAGATGTTCAAAATTAAAAGTGTATAAAATAGGAAGAAATCCTACATGTTGGTGTGATATGATCACCAATGGTGACTTGGCATTTAAACCAAACTTTGATGCTTCCCCTATAGAAAACAATGAGAAGTTATTCCAGATGCAGACTCATCATAAAATCACAGAGATCTGAGAATGTGTAATGGTACACTGGAGATAAAAAAGACAGCAGAAGTAATAGTTTGGGTAAATAAAGAATACATAAGGAAAATTGTAAGAAATGGGGCTAGTAATAGCCTATGCTGCAAAGAAATGAGCTATCAAGACATGAAAAGATGTGGAAGAAATTTAAATGTGTATAGCTAAGTGAGAAATTTGATAAGCTAAGAAATCTGTTAAAGCTATGCAGTATATTATAAAAATAACAGAGCAATTCATAAGTATCAAAACTATAGAGAAGGAGAAAGACAAATGATTGCCAGAGACTGGGGCATTAAATAGATGGAGAGGTGAAACCCACATATAGTTAATGCTCTGAAACTTATCTGTATGAGGCACAATGGCATGAGCATCTCATTGAACATTCTTCTAATCTCATGGATCCTGAAGGAAACTGTGACTTTTGAGTGAAAATGATGTATTCTCATAGGTTCATTACTTGTAACAAATGGACCACTCTGGTCAGGGACACTGACAGTGGGTGTGGTGTGCACAAGTAAAGGAAAGGTCTGGAAGGGCATCCTCTGTACCATCCTTTATGCTGGTATAAACCCCTAACTGACTTTAAAAAACAAAATGTAGCTTTAAAATGTTATCTCCAATATCACCAAATGATGACAGTAGTAAAAACGGACCAAGTCATGCTCAAGAAAAGGCTTCAACTCAATAGTCTTTGGGTGATTCTATTCTAGATCACATTTCTATACCAGAAAAGACAACTTATAAAGTGTGCTGCAATTCTTGGTAATGTTGAAGGATGGGATGGTAATAAAGGTTCTTAATAGGCCACTAAAATAGTGCTGTGTTCAGGTGGGGTGTCCACTCTCTGAGTCCATAACTATCTATCAGAGATAACCTTGAAACTTTTGGGGGTATATCATGATGATATATATTCTTATCAGTCCTTCAGGGATAGCTGTGCTCCTGGCTAGGGGCACTGTATTTATCCTCAGGATATGGGTCATATCCAGCTCTGTCTCCTTCAGCAACCTGCTTCTACATGAATACTCATGAAGAAGTGCTAAGAAAGAAATCCAAACCACAAGTGTCTGTGTGATGATCATATTCCCTCTGCTGCCACTGACACAGGGCAAAATGTTGCTGCTTTCATGAGAATGGACTGGTTGGAACTCCAGTCTCTCCAAGAACATAATGCAAGGGATGAAAAAGAAAAAGGCAGCTCTGTAAGTAGGATATGATTTTTCAGAATATCTTAATGTCTTCAGGACAGAATCATTCATTTGATATGATACAGTGAAAAGCAAGATAGACAAAGCAAAATGATCTAAAAATAAACATTCGTACCATCAAGAGATCCTACTAGTCAGAAAAAAATTAAGGTCCACAAAGGGAAAACGAATTACGTAGAATAACTAACAAAGAACATGCTTCAATAATCTATCAAGATCAACCTATCACCAATAAACATAAACAGTACAACAGAAAATTTAAGACATATGAAGTTGTCTGATTAAAGGGAAGCTTCAAATGCCTACCTATATGAAAATGAAAATATGTTTAATCTCATTATCACTTAGGACAATTAAAATTTAAACTGGGAAGACATGTGAGTACATACCCAACACAGTGCATAAAGAGAACAATTGACAATCTGACAATCGTGTTGGCCAAAAGAGTTTCTCCCAACTGAAGAAAAGAATGCATTAGGAAAATATTTGTCTTTCTCTAGTGATTTTCCAAACCCACTAAAGAATTGAGGAGCTTTGGCTGGGGTATTAAAAGGCCTGCCAGATGGTGTTCATTATAAGTCCATGTACAACAGATTCAAACCTACATGCCTATTAGTAGATGAGTGAATAAACACACTAAGTTTATAACATGGCATTTCACACATGAGCAAACAATAAGTGAAACATGTGTGGATGTTCCAGAGAATGCAGCATCCACAAGTGTAAGAAAAGAAGCTCAATTAAAAATAATGCAAACTTATTGGTTCTTTTATAGTGTCTGTGTGTGTATGCACTTCCTTTTTTTTAACTTAAGGAGACAAAAATAAGCAGCTTGTTCATTTCCAGGAAGATCCTTATTGTTGTTTCATGTTTCTCTACCTGAGTACATTTTTTTCAGTAAAATAACTGAAAACTGCTTTGTAAATCTTGGTGCCTTCTTAGATCCCTCCCCCACAGGAGACCACAGGCATTGAACCCTTAAATAATGTGCTATTTTTGTCTGGATTGTGAGACGGTGGCGCTGCAGATCAGCACTGCTCCTCACCTTCTGGGGCACAGGTGGCATTTCCTCAGTGTGTAGGTGTCTGGTGTCTATTATACCTGTACTTATGAGACACTAGCTATTTGGATTTGGTCCAACCCAAGGTCCTCACTTCACTCTAATCAACTCATCTTCCAAAACAAGTACACTCTCAAGTCCTGGGGGTTGGGATTTTATATATACATTCAGAGAACACACTTTAACTTATAACTGTACCTAAAGTGCCCTGAAAATGAAAACCATCACTCCTAGACACTTCTGAGTGCACTCTCCTTGCCATGACTCTGGGACAGCATTGATGGTTGCTCCCAGTGACATGTTTATAGACACCAGGCTAATATGTATCACCTTCAGTAAATCCTTTAATCCTTCTAGCAGTACACAGTTATTTATTTTTCCCATTTCATATGTGGCACAACTGAGACACAAGGGTTTTTATTGCTTTCTGCAAGATCACACAGATGGGGACCATGTGCATAGCACTTGAATGAAAAAGATATTTCAAGGCCAAATGTCCAAATGCCTCATGTTATTATTGTAGTTCTAATAATAAAAGGAGAATAACGGCAAGGCAAATAGTCTGTCCAAGAAGATGGCTCCACACAGCCTTGTTAACCTGGGAGACAGACGTTACCCATTTCTCACCGCCAGGCTCTGCTCACACGGTGCCTTATAAACCACGCTTACTGGGCACTTGGGAACACTTTGCAGATAATCACACGTGCTTCCATATTAGATAGAATAATCTGCATGTTCTCAGGATCCACAGGAGAGCAAGTCAATTTGCATACAGGAGACATTCATCTAGAACAAGAGCATGCACACATTTTTTTTTGGCTTGGATAGGTAAAGTAAAAAAACAAAAAACAAACTTTTATTGCCTGATAATGAGTAGATCATTTGTTCAAAATATGTTTTTCATTATAACTTTTTCACAAAATAATCAATAAAATATTGTCAATATGGCTAATTCCTTGCTTGTTTTCTATGTAGAATTTTTTCCATTCTATCTGTTCTTGAAACATTCTGGGTTTTGTGCTACACCTTTCCCTACATTTTCCAGACTCCTATGGGGCCATAGAGCTTGTGAGTGAAGAGCAAATACCTTTGAGTGACAAGAGGCTGGGTTTTGATTAAGCTCCTGATGCCCATTAGCCGTTATTCAGCCAACAAAGCACACAAAACCCCTGTTTCATATGTTGAGAGGGAGGAGAATGGTTCCCCACAATAATGGGAGTAAATGGGATACCCCACTTGACTAACCATGCCTTGAAGCAAATGCTCAAACTGACATCATCATTGGGTGCTGTGCTTCTGTGAGACTCAGAGGCCCTTTTCTTCCAGCTTCACTAGGTCACTCCACCTCAACCTCCATTTTCTAGAGTCATTGTCATAACCTTATGTTTTTATCTCAGTTCTTTCCAGGAGGTACTGTGTTAGAGCATGGCTTGGGGATTTTGCTTTTTTCTTTGGTCACTAATCAAATGTATCCCAGATCATTAGATATTGTCCCTACCCTCTGTTTATAGAAAGTGTTCTGTGTATCTCTCTCAGTGAATGCGGCTGGCAGATTCAAGACATATTAAAGCTGTTTAGAATATGGCTAGTTATCCCAAATTCAACTGTTCAATTGAACTCTGTCAACTTTCATGTTATGAGTATGGGAAATCCTACAGAAAAATCAGATGCAGGATAGGATTTTCCTGTAATCATCTGGAAACTACTGGGACTTCATTGCAACAAGGTCACAATGAAATGGAAGAAACGAGGTGACTGGGATTATATTCTTCCTAAAATAAAACTTTATTTTCTACTTAATGTTGGATAAATTAAGTAAGTCAATGAATGAAAGGATGAATAAGTGGTTTCACTTAAATTTTATTTGACAATTCATAGCAACAGAGTAAGTCTTTTCTGGGTACTAGGACTGTGGTTCTGGTACTTGAAGTCAGGTGCAGGTGCTCATGTCTTCACAGGGTTCGATGACAAAATCTGGAACCAAGGCAGCACAAGGATGGCAACAGCAGATCATATCAGCTGTCTATTCAGGCAAGCAGAACTTCTGGTGAATTCTCAGCCTGTGATAAAACAAATTATTCAACATCTAGATATGTGATCAGTACTGGGTCACCCAAATAAACAAAACACTCTTCAGCCTTGCTTTTCGTGAAGTATCTCACAAGTCATCAACAGATATTTAGCATCCAAAATGCTAAATACAAAAACAGATGCACGCAGTCAGGAAGAGGACAACTGAGCAAGTCAGAATGTGCCCAGGAATCTGCATAGACATTGCCACATGGAATCCAATAGGCTGTCAGAAGGAAAGCAAGGGGTGGAGAAAAGTGTGCACAAATAATTATGTAGGCTCAAGAAGTTGATCTGTCCAGTGGGTGGAAAAGGACAAAGACATAAGATACTCCTGATTATGGAGTCAGTCATCTCTCAAGCCACCAAACCTGTTGTTAGAACATTTTAGGACAGAAGGCCAACAAGTGAATATCCAGCTGAGTAACTGTAGACACTAGTTGAAACTGCTTAAAGACACTCATTTCTGGAGTCCTTTCTCAAGTACTCTCAGGTGACCCTGTTAGATATCCATGAGTTCTCTATTCTTGGATCATTTACCAGTCAGATGCTCACACCTGTGGACATAAAATACAACAACAACCAAAAAGCATAGTCAGCTCACAAATTTGACCTCACTTGTGGGTGAGAATTCCACATTTCTCTTTGAAATTCTAACTTTCAAAATATTTGCTGTATTATATCATTGATTTATTTTTGAGTAATTTGGCCTAAAGAGAAGCATTTTTCTATTTCTATTATATTTTCAACAAAACTGTCTTAGATTGGGTTCTTGCAAAAGTAATTACAATTTTGAAATTAAATTAAATACTTAATTAAAAATTTTAAAGTGAATTATGGTTACAATATAAAATTAAATTAAAAAATCAAGCTGTTTTGTGCAGTGGTAAGCAAGAAGATGCTCAAAATCTACTTCTGAAAAATTAAGAGAGCAAAATTACCAATATGTGTGATTACGGGTATTAATTTAATAAAAACCTGATTTCCTTTACTATGAAACCCACATTTTCCCTATGTGTTTGAAAGAGTCACAGAAAGAACTATCAAAAATCAATAAACATTTTAAGAACCACTCTCTACCAGGGACCCACACACTTGGCTAGGTCCCAGCAAGATTAGAGGTAACCTGTTCCTCTCCTCCTTTTTTGCCTCCTCAGACAACTCTCAGAATGGATGTTGCCAGCCTGTATGACCACTTCTTCCAGAGAGCCCACCCCCATCATGTAGGGAGTTGGCCTCCTGATGTGGACCCAATATCCTTTTAGTTCTTTCCTGCCGCTATTTTTCATCCTTTCTGTTTTCTAGCCAATCTTCATTCCTTTGTGACTCCCCACTGATGCACAGAATCACTTTTTTTCCAGTGACCCAAAGCCACTTGACTGGGACTCAGGTACCCCACAGATACTATATTTGCTAGGACCAAGATGGGGACAAACAATATCAATCAAACAATGAAACACCCAGCTAGACTCAAATCCTAGACTAGATGCGTTAGTTATGGTTACCATTGCTATGATTAAACAGCATGACCAAAAAGCTACTTGAGGCAGAAAGGCTTTATTTGGCTTACACTTCCATAACGCTGTTCATCATAGTAGGAAGTCAGGACAGGAACTCAGACAGGGCAGGGACTTGGAGGCAGGAGCTGATACAGGGGCTATGGAAGGATGCTGTTTAGTTACTTGCTCCTCATGGCTTTCTCAGCCTGTTTTCTTATAGAACTTAGGACAACCAGCACAGAGATGGAACCACCTGCAATGGGCTGGGCTCTCCTCTATGGATCACTAATTAAGAAAATACTTTAAAGACATATCACAATTTAGGTCCCTCCTTTCAGGTAACTATAGTTGACACAAGACTAGCCAGCACACCAAGAAACACCTCAAACATCATAACTGGAAATGCCTGGATCTGAGCACAAAAACAAACAAACAAAAAACCCATGAACATCCAAGGCAATATGTGTTTTCCAGCAATTTACTGTAACAGACCCTAAGGGAAACAATTTAGATGAGGCTCAAGAAAGGTAATTCAAAATAGCAATTATAAACCTTAAAAAGGAAATGAATAATTGTCTTAATGGAAACCATAAAAACACAAACAATTGAATGAGAAAATAAAAAAGATTCAGAACTTGAAAGTGGAATTTAACCTATAAATAGAATTTCTAAATTACAAACAAACTGAAATAATCCTAGAAATAAGAAACCCAGGAAATCCAACAAAAGACTCAGAGGCTAGCCTCACCAACAGATGAGAAGATGTAGAAGACAGGATCTCAGTTCTCCCAGACAATGTAGAAGGAATGGCTAGATTAGTCAAAGAAAACGTTAACTTAAATAAATCCAGGTACAACACATCTGAAAATCTGGGACACTATAAAAAGACCAAACCTACAAATGGAAAGTATAAAGGAAGGAGAATAAAACCATGTCAAAGGTACAGAAAATATTTTCAACAAAGTAATAGAAGTAAATTTTTTAATATAGAAAGTGAAATGCCTATCAAGATGTAGGAGACACTGAGAACACCAAATATACATGACCAGAGAAGAAACTCCCTGAGACACATAATAATCAAAACAGAAAAAAATTTACAAACTGCAGGGGGAAAAGATTATGTCACATATATAAAGACAGGCCTGATAGCATAACACCTGACTTTTCATTGGAGACTCTTGTCACAGGAACCCCTCTCAGTTGGATATCTGCTTTGCTGTTATTCCCATGTCCCATCTATTCAGAGAACAGATTCCAATCTGTTCCAAGAAAATGTCCCTCCTTTTCTTTCTTGAAGTTTCTGGAAACCTCATAGCATTGGATTTTATTCAAAGGATTTGTAATCAAAATACTGAGGAGACACATATACATCTATGCTCACTGAAGCAGTATCCATGGCGAAAAACAAATAGCTGATACCCCAACAAAAAGAAGAGGGATGCAATGAAAACACTAAGTTGCTTCTTCTCCCTCTTCTTATACTGTAAAGTAGATCCCCCAAAGGCAGACGAGTTTTGGAAGGAGACAAGATTATCTGTGGATGCAAGATGCAGTGAGCATGCTATAAGCCTTCCTCCTTTTTATATGTCCAGCCACCCTCCTCGTGCATGGAAAGTAATTAAGGGCATGATTTGCATTCTGAGGTCCTTACTATGAGCTCTGTGACGATAGCAAAAGATCCACTGAATGCTCAGGGAATTCTTCATCAGAGAAAGCTCTTCACATGGACCTTGCTACAATCTCTGCAATAATGCAGTCACTCAGTTTCTCAGTAGAGTCTTTAATATCAGCTCAGACTCACATTCTCTTAGCATTTAGAGGTTGGGAAACAAGGCCTGTGTCAGGGTGTGGTCTCCCTAGGCTTTTTGAAAGAGGGATCTATCACTTCCTCCCACATTGATCAAATGTCACCACAATTATCCTGGCTCTGAAAATAGCTCTGGCATTTTTATTTTGATTTTTTGAACGTGCAAATTTCCGAGGCTGCTGTCAAATGCATGCCTGCTTTGCTCTTATCAGGCTCCTTCTGGCTGAGGCGTTTGGTTAATTTTCTCCAGAGCTGAGCTAGCAGCCTTTCTGAAGACCTTGTCTGAGTTCCAAATGGACCGAATGGGAATAAGTTGTTGGATGTTGCTCTGCACAAACTGGGAGTGAATTATTACCACACCTTCTAAATGCCGACCATACATTTCATTAAAAGACTATTTCTTCCCCTCCTGGGTGACTAATGGGGAGGTTAAACAGGACACATAAGTTCCTCCCACCTGCCCCTCCTGCTTTTCTTGCCATCTCCCTGTTTATATTTTCTCAGTCATTTTTTGACCAACAACCATTTCTCCATAGGTGAGAGAAGAGATTTGTGCTTGAGTTTTTACAGGCATGCTGAGGAGAGTGGATAGGGCAGAAGCTCAGGGTCTCACCTGAGGGAAACCCAGGTCTATGATGAATGTAACTGTGGAAGGACCTTTGTGGATGCCAGGTCTCCATTCCTTAAAACAAATAAGGAATTCCCCGTAACACCTTTTATTTATAACACTCTGAGAATTTACTGCAGAGGTAAATCACACAAGGCAGAAAAGAAAGCATGAGGGGCTCTTTTCTAGCCATGAGTTGATCAAAGTTGGTTTTTTAAGCTGCTGTGCACGAAGCACCTTAAGGATTTGTGACCAGTGTCACCTGTGCCACTGATGTCACTGGCTTTGGCTGGTCCTGCTCATGTCTGCCTGACTCCGAGCTGTTGACACTTGCATATGCTTGCTTGCCTGGGTACTCGGTCTCTCCTCATAACATATTGTTTTGCTGTTTTTGGGTGAGTCAATGGAGGAAATAACGGCATGGCAGCCCTATGACATCTGCCTTCACCCATTTCATACATGGGCAAAGCGGGGTGTTACTTTTTTTTAGCAACTCAGTCCCTGGTTTGTAATAATTGGATGCTCATACTTAACAGGCTGCACAATTCCTCCAGGAGATTTGAGCCCCTTTTGCATATAGTAGCTCAGCATTCTTTTATCTTCTGCACTCACTATCCTATCATGAAAAATACAGAAATCGTGCTGTCTAGGAAGGTCACTGATGTCATATGTTTTTTTCCTATCGTTGGAAGTGTTTCTCTTTAGGCCAGGCATCTCCTTGATGACTTTGCAACTATGTTAGGGCTTTTCATCCATTGGAAACATCACAAACCACTAAGGTGTCTTCCAATGCATGGGGAAATGATTCGCTTAAACACTGCAGAACACATGCAACTTAAACACATACAACTTCTTTGGTCATTATTAAATTATTAATAAGTAAAAATGTTGATTTCATGTTGCAACTCTCATAATTACTTCCTGACCCAAAATTGCATTCCAAGCATGTCTTCTATGAGGAGATGGTAAGTGGTAGGTGAAGGCTGGGGATAAGGAGCCAGAGACCACAAGAAAGAAGTAAAGCCTGGCTGAGGGCAGGAATTATCAATGCATTTCTCTATCCAAGTACCTGGAGTGGAGCATCAACCACATGGAAAAGGGCCCCAGAATAGAAAAGAGATCAGAGCAGTGAGCGGGTGCCTGGTCAGGACAAAGTACATACCTTACTATTTAGAGGAGGCAAGGTTTATAATTCTACCATCACTATCAGTTTCTATGCAGCAGAAGAGTCAATACAGAGAGATATCTCACTGGAATTCAGTGTGTATGCTGAGAGAGGGGGCAATATTACCATGTGTCCTCTGGCAGCACACAGCACCCCTGAATCTGAATGTCAATTGCACACAGCTTCCTCCTTTTCTTTCCTTTTTGTCTTGACTGCCCCACTGGCGACTGAACTCACCTCTCAATCACCCCTTTCTGTGCTGCCTCTTCCATTGTTGGCTGACCTGGAGCAGAAAATAGGTTGCCTAATAAATAGTCCCAGCATTGTCACAATATGGCTCTTTCTAGGTCAGCTGTACCTGGTGGGGAGGGAACAATGGCCTCAGAGTTGAAAGAGAATGTGATGCCCTGTTAGGAGTTGCATCCCTTAGATGGCTAATTAACTAGAGAACAGGGAGCTATACTCCCAGAGCATGCTCTGAAGATGACAGAGCAGTGCTGGCTAAATGCAAGCCGTGGGGGAAGCTATGGATACCTTGTACAGAGTGGGTCACACAGGAGGCCTTATGGAGGACAACCACTTTAATTTCTGCAGTACTGCATTGTACTTTCCCACTACTGTGACCTTTGTGGCCAGGGCTGTTATACCAGTAGGACAGTCAATCAAGTTCTTTTGAACATTTTTGTCATCATATGCTCCCTTTGTGCAAGCAGGTCACCTACCTTCTCCCAGGCCCAAGGAAGCATCAGGCACAACATGGTCATAATCTCAACTCTTTCTCTGCTCTACCTTGACTTTCCACATAGCCAACTCTTGCATCATTGCCTTATGCTTGTACTATTTCTAAATCCTTACATTAGTGAGTACAGTATTACTGAGAAGGAGGACTCACCAGCCATAGACTTGATTTTGAATCCCAGGGCTGAACTTTTCCAGACTTGTTATTTGAGCAGGTTACTTAACCTTTTCAAACATCTGACTCATGGCTGAAGTGGAGAAGCTTACTAATGTATGATGGTGCAGAAATGTGACCTGGTTCCACTGTCAATGATACTTTCAACTGACTACTATATAATTTTAAACTTGTGAAATACATAACGGTAAACAAAATATTTGATTATAAACCATGTATGGTTAAAATGAACAGCAAATATGAAATATAACTACTATAAATATGGTGTATTATTGCTTATGATTAATGAATGTTTTTCATTAATAACTATTTCTAGCATCATTTGTGACCTTGTAATCAATATTGTAAGATACAGAGAATTATTTTCACTTTCCAAACAAGAAAACTGGGGTTCAGAAAGACTAAATTTTCCCATAATGACATTGTTAGTGATAGTCAAAAGTTGTAGATCAGAAATCAACATTCTTCTGTCTCCTCTTCTGCCTGACTCTTTATTCTCCTCCTCCTTTCTTCCTTCCTCTCTGTCTTCTTTCCTCTTGCCTTTATCTTCCTTCTCCTCCCCTTTTCTTCTGCCACTCTTCCCCTACCTCTTATCACTAGTCCTTGTTTCCATTGTATGACAGCCTTTCTGCAAAGCGTTTTTTCCTTTCTCTTTCTTCACTGATTCTCCTGTTTGGAGGCAGATGGCCTTGACCCTGACACTACTAGACCAGATTTCAGAGAACAGAGGACTTTTATATTAGAACTGAAATCAAAAGTTGGATATGCAACACTCCTGAGTGACTGAGAATCCTGACGAATGAAGGTGGTCCACAAACCTTGTACGATGATATGAAGGCCCCAGAAGTCAAAACAAGACACCACATGTCTTCACTCCACTGTGTTTGGGGTTTTCAACCTTTATATTGTTGAAGCCCTAGACTACGTCTTCCCTCTTGGGATCAGCTAAGCTGAGTATTCTCACATGTTAAACAGTAATCCTATCTTCTACCAGCTAACAAACCCTAGCCTTTTCCATGACTCATTGTCAGAAAAATATCCCCCAGTTGAGTCTTACTGACCTAAATTACTTGGTGCAAAACCAAGAGGGAATGGTTAGAGAATTACCTGGAGTCGAATGTGAAGAATTGTAGAGTTCACTTCCCTCCGAAGACTATAGAAGGGTTTGAAGGGTTCTAGTTTTGCCTTCATATCTGTCGGCATTTGATCAAACCCTTGGAGCAAGCCAGTTGCTATTCATGTGGTAAAAAGCCTTTAGTGGGTGAACGAGGCACTGTAGATAGACCCTGTCACCTCAAGGAAACCTTAAACACAAAGTGATGGCATTTGAAATGGGGCCATTGTGATGCTCAATAGGAATTGAGGTCATAGACTGAAATCCTTACGATGGAATTTATGTCCTTGGAAAGAAACACCATATCCTCCCTGGATCCCCTCTTCCTTCCCCCTCATCTTCTTCTTCTCTTTTCTTCTTTGTACACCTTTTCCTCCACTTATTCCTCTCTCCCTTTTTCATTTTTTCCCTCTGTTAATTGAGACAGCACAGTAAGAAACTCACTGTTTTCAAGCCAGAAAGTTTTTTCTCACCAAGGTATATATCCATGTTGGCACTTTGATTTTAGTCTTCTAACCCCCAGAGCTTCAAGAAGACAAACTCTGTTTGTTTCACAATGAAGCAGACTGATATAAAAGGGGAACAGTTTTTCCTGTGGTTATGGATTGTTAAAATGTTAGCTGAAACAAATCTGAAAGCTGTGGGGTAGCAAATAAAATTTAGTTTTGTTGATAGTTGTGGTATCAAGGTCATGTGACAGTGAAATGCTTTACCATTAGGTTATTACAGGTTCCAGTAAACCTGCTCGCTGGAAGGAGATATAATGGATTTATTGCTGGACCATCACAAGAGGCTCCTGCAAACTTAAGTCTGTGTGTATTCAACTCATTTATTTACATGTTTCAAAAAGAATGAATAATTCAGACTCAGAACTTGACCTCAGATGACCCAGAATCACATAATAAACAAAGTTGACAGGATTGAATCAAATGCTAAAATAAAACAAAATCATGTGTCATTTCAATATAATGTTTAGTGTTTTGTTAGTGAAGCCAAGAATTACAATATGACACAGAGTAGTAAAGATTTCTTTCCTAAAAAACACTGATAATATCTTATTATAATTTAGAAAGATGCTTAGAAATGCTTTATTTATTAATAATATCCAAGTGAAACTTATGTAATAGCAAACAATTTGTAATTTCATTCAGTGCATCCTTAGAAATTGTTAAAGGAAAAATACTCTTTATGTGAAAAGCACAGAAAAACCCTAACATATTATGAGTGAGTAAGTGCATATCCTTATGCTATTTCTAGATTTTCTGGCTGAGGAAGGGCTAGCAAGGCTCAGTAGATACACCAGAGCTAAATGCAATGCACATCCCAAAAGAGCATTCGTTTGATAGACACTGATGAAACTTCAAGCATGTGTCAGGCATTGTGGTGGTTGGCAAAGTACCGAACACCCACACTGTAAGAGCTTTATGGCTTGCTAAGCTACGGTTTACAAAATTCTACACTAGTCACTCTAATTCATCATTCACTTGTTTATAAATTGAAAGCAAGACTTACTCTTCCCACATAATAAAAATGAGAAACAAGGAGAAAAAGTCAGTGTCATGTTGTAGAAGAGAATAAGGTAGCATACAAAGCGAGTACTCATATTCAGGTTGGCCTGGGAGTGCATGTAATTGTCTGCTCTTGTACTGTGTGTCTTATACCATGACACAATGCTGTCTATCCAAATCAGTAAGTTCCATGGTCAATGAAAGACTCTGCCTCAAAAATCTCAGTTGAAGAGTGATTGAGAGAGACATTCAGTGTTGAGCTCTGGTCATGCACAGACACACACACACACACAGACCCCAAGTCCCAACTAAAAGTGACTCTCATGATGTCTAAGGCCAGTCTAAAAGCCATGCTGAAAAATGATGTTTGAGATATCTCGTGCTGTTGAGGATCACTGAGTATCCAGGTGGACATGAACACTCAAAAGGAGACTTTTCTCTTTGTTTTGCAGACAAGAGAATCGAAAATGTTTCTGATTAGTTTAAATGGGGACGAGTTTCATCTCTTCTTCCAATAAAAAAGGTGAGTCTCATCTTTCTCCAAGGCAAGATGTTAGCTTCTTGAACATATTCACTTTAGTTTGCTTCTTTCATACCTCACAAAAGGGCTAGCAGTCCTGTGGGCATAATAATCATATAACAATAACATGTGAAACACGGCAGAATCTGCAGAGCAGTATCCTATAACCATACACAGTATCCAGCAAGCTCTTTGTATTTGTGCTAAGAGAGGTAAACAGGGTCTAGAAGGTCATATGGTTAGTCTCCTTGATGCAAATATCATTTGTTTAGATAAAATGAAAACCAGGTCTTCAAGTTTCATGCAGTGTACATTTTCTAACACAATAGACATTGCTTTCCCCAGAAAAAATTTTATCTAAATGATGGAAAAGTCATAAATGAAAGTCGTCTATTCCTCCATAACCAACTTAGATCTCAGCCATTACTCCTGAATTTGTTAATCATCTCTGATCTGTTTACACTTCAATCATCATTTTTTCTGTTTTGTACACAAAGGCTTGGAAAAGCGTGGAAAATGCTGTCAGCTCTTGTGAGGCTCGCTTACCCATTTCTGAGTGCACATATGCCTTTGAGCGAAGGAGTGCAGCATGCTCCAGTGAGCGTGGATAAGAGGTCTGGTCTTTCAATCCTAACATTGAAAATACAAGCACATTTCTCCTTAATGCAATGTCTTGTCAGAGTACAGACAAAAGACCAACTCTGAAGTTACTGGATGTGAACCCAATTCGCTAGCCTTACATTAAGAAAAGCGCATTATATAGAGAGAATTGACTGGCAATGACATACCACAAGGCAGTGTCTCATAATATTAGCAGCTGAAGTTTTGTGAGACTTTAGAACATGATCAGTATAGAGTTCCAATTGTTAATAGCACTTTGGCAATATGTACTATGAATCTCCATTTTATAGGAGGAATTTGCACAGAAGAAGGTGCCTAATAAAGGAAATGATGCTGTCAGAAAGCCTGCTGTGTTAGGCAATCTGAGCTCTTTGAGAATTAATTCATTCACTTTTCACAACGGCTCTGTAAGATCTTTTTTTTTTTTCCTGTTTCCTAGATGAGAACTAGCCAGGGTCAGATCAATGACACAATTTGCTGAAGTCAAGCAGCTAGTGACAAAGAAGCTGATGTAGGAAGACTGGAAACAGCACCACCCAAGCAGAGTTCTACAACAAATCGCATTTGGTATTTCATTGCAAGTTGTCTCATAGAGTCCAATTGCAATGAAAGAAAAGCTTGCGGACTCCCAGTTAAGAGTCTAAGGATCAGAGAAGTAAAAAAAATGCCCAATATCCCACAACAAGTAAGGAGCTGAGCAGGTCCTGAGCCCCAGGTGTTCTCATAGCACATTTAGGACTCCTTTATTACTGTAAAGTTTCTAATAGACAAGATGAAATTGCAGCCATTCTTTAAAATTGCTGAATAGTCATTCACCTAATAAAACCTGGGCGATGGTGACCTTGAAATTCATGCAATTTACTAGATTACCTGGGCTATGTTCATTTCTGCTTTTACATTTTGCAGGCATTCTCAAACTTTTTAATGAAATTCCAGTGGAGGAGGATTTGTTGACCTTCAAATGCTGCATTTAGGGGTAGAATGAGCAATATTCTGGGCTAACTCAGAGGTAAATATGCTGGTTATCAATGAGGTTCCTTTATCCCATGGACCCAAGACTTGCCAAATCTCAGCAGAACCCAGGTACACATACATCATATCTCCTTGTGAATCAGACAGTCTGTGTCTACAAGTCCTTGAATGTCGCCACCCATGATCTTTTTCTTATTTTCTTTAGGACAGGATTATGTATCTTTGTTTTCTTTGGTTCTGAGACTCCTAGAGTGACAGAGCCTTTCTTGAATTTTCAGACAGCTGTCCTTCCTAATACATATGTCCTAGCACACCTGTACCTGTCAAACTTGTGCTACTAATTTTTAAACAGAGAATGTCTATCATCCATACTTTCCACTTGAAGTAGTTGTTTTAAGAATAGTTAGGGCAGGTGAGATGGCTCATTTTCTTTCTACCCATCTGCTTCCAATACTGATGACCCGAGTTTAGTTCCCAGAACCAACATCGTATGATCAAGCTGGGAACTGACTTCTGTAATGTTTCCTCTGACCTCCATAGTGCAATGTGGAATTCATGCATGTGTGCATGCATGCATTCACACATACATACATACATATACTGCACTAAATAAACAAATAAATGCAAACAATTTTAAGAAGAACAATCAGAAGTATATTGTTTACAAATTTCAATATAAGAAAAGTTTGAAATACTAAACCTTGGAATTTAGTCTTACTCAAATGATTTGTTCTTATGCACACATTTTTATGAATTAAAAGCATTGTGATCCTCAAAAATTTAAGGTTGTTGCCTTTCATGAAAAGTTGTGAAGATTAAGATAGATTATGTTCATGCCACTATTCATTCTATTATCTGTTCAGTCAATATTTCTGGATGTTTAATAAATAATGAGTATTCTGTCAATTCTTGTAAATGACAGAGATCCCAATGCCTATTCCCAGAAAGTGCACAACCCACCAGAAGATAGTGAAGTGCACAATTTAAAGCAGTGCAGTGACAGATAATTTGACACTTGCATAGAACCTACAGAAGTGTCAAAGTGGAGAAGCCACATCCAATTCGGATTGGCTGTTGAGTCTTAGAAAGTGTACAGCAGAGTCTAGGTTCTTCACCTGAGGGAAGGGAAGACTCATCAAGAATATTATGAATGAGTGAAAATGTCATCCTTTAGGAAGGGCAGAAGAAAGAAGTCCTGAGTCTTCAGAAAGAATCCTAAATAATATTAAAATCCCATTGAGTGCTTACTATTGAAAATCTCTTTGATTCTAAATAAAACAACAACAACAAAAAGCCAATTTGACCTCAGATCCTGCCTTTGGTTGTATATAAGCAAAGCCATTACATTTTAGTGTTTAAGTCAGAATCTTCACAGCTTCCCAGACACAGGGGACATGCTTTGAAGTACACAGAAACTGAGATCCTGTGGGGACAGGACTTTCCAAAAATGGAGAGATTAATTTACACCACCATGAAGTAAGTTCAGCCTGCTGCTAATCAGAGATCCAATTCCTATTTTCCAGGGCATTTCACAGGAGGATTTTCCCA